TGTGTGTGTGTGTGTGTGTGTGTGTGTGTGTGTGTGTGTATGTGTGTGTGTGTGCTACAAGTGAATGAATGTTGGTGCCTGTGGAGGTGCCCCTGGAGTTGGAGCTCCAGGAGGTGGTGAACACTCAATATGGGTGCTAGGAACAGAACCTGTGGCCTCTCCAAGAGATTATGTATTCATAACCTCTGAGCCATCTCTCCAGCCTGGAACAGAGGTTTCTGAATGGACAAATGGCATGATCATGATGGTATTGTAGAAAATGGGAGAAAATAAGAGGGTGGCTATAAAGTCAGGGAGATTAGGCAGGAAATTATATAGATCTAAATTCAGGTGGACACATTAGGGATGGGAGCATTGAGGACAGATCTGAGTCCTGTTGAGGAAGAGACAACTAATCTAGGTGACAAGTTAGATGTATACATCAAGACTTGAAATGCTCCCAAGTTGCTGACCTGGGTGACTAAGTAAATGGAGCCACCAGCTTCCAAGGAGAAAGAAGCAGTCCAATTTTCAATATGTTGGTTGGAGATGGAATGCCTAATAAGTTTTTTTTAAAAAATCTGGATTTCATTTCAGTGGTTATTAGCACCTACGTAAAAGCAGTCAGCTCTGGGTTGTAAACTCAGTAAGCAGGGGCTCTGCTCAAGAGAGACTCGAATGGATTGATGAAATTGTAAAGGAGGCGAGAAGACTGAAGCCAAACCAGGGACAGGCCACTGTTTGAAGTTGAGGAACATACAGATAAAAAAAGTAGGGAGAATAAAGTCAGGGATCTAGAGAGGAAATCATCCCAAGCAGGAACTGTCTCAGCAAGGACAAGGACAAGAAGCCCTGGAGGGTGGAGACGAAAATGCAGCCTGGAGCCCAGAGGCAGGGGCCCAGGGGTGGGAGAGAGAGCAAAAGACAAGCTCCCTCCAAGTCATCACTGTCCGAAGATCGACCTCCAGAAACATTTAACTGGGTACCTTGCCAGGCTTTCTGCCAGGCATGTGTGAGTAAAAGTCCCATCACTTTTCCTGGGAACAGGTGGCTAGGATCAGCTGTCTTCTCTGCTACCCAAGTCACGGCTTTGTGTTTAAATCTAAATGATTAGCCTGCCCCATTGAATGAACCAAAACAGTCCGCTAACTGTATACCGCAAGACGCTTCAGCAGGGATGGAGTCCTAAGCCGGTTTAGAAATGCTGTAAAGGAACTTCCACCCTCTGATCCTCCTCTCCCTCTGCTTCAAAAGGGAAGAGTAGCTTTGAAAACCCAAGTCCTTATGGAGGTCTCCCAACTTCCCTAGGGTCTTCTCTAGAAGTTTGTTTTCTTCCGGTGGGAGACCCTGCTCCTCAGCTAGAGAGGCATCCTGGGGCTGCCCTGTTCCAATGAGTATCCTGCTAAATAGGTACCCACCGTCCTCCCGCCTGAAGATGAGCCAGGCTAGATCTAAGGAGGATGATACCACAGGCTAAGAAAACGAGAATGAAGCAGGTTTGCAGGTAAAATAATAAGAACATTTCTTTTCAAAAATGCTCGCAACACATTGTTGCGCCCCACTTACGTAGATGTTCGGGGATCTGCTGTCGGAGAGAATTCCCATCTCATACTCTAAAAGTGAGCGTGTTCCTCTGCTTCTTCTGCCCACAAGATTCCTCTCGTGGTTTTGTTTTGTTTTCCAGCCCTGTCTTTCCGGTCCTCCAGGGATCGGAGCCCACAGATGAGCAGAGGGGGAAGCAGGCTCATACCTTCTGGCACAGACCCAATTTTCCAATCTTCAAAATTCACAGCCGGTTTCCCCTCTCCTCGTCGCTGCATTGTGTGACTTGAAAGACACAGTGGAAATAGCTCTGGGAACACAAAGAATGAAAGAGCACACACCACGGGTGAGCAGAGAGGAAGCCTTCTTAATAGATTTCAAAAGAACAGAACCGGGAGCGATCCTGACTCTTAAAAGATTTACCAGAAATGTCGGCAGAATTCCAAGACAATGATGCTGGGAAAGATGAAAACACTGGGCACCGCGGGCAGGAAGAGGCATATTCAACGTGGACCAATAATTGGGTACATGTATGATGGCTTCATGCTAACAACAGTGACCCAGAATCACGGAGTCGCCCTTTTAACTTTGCTGGTTGGAGCAAATATGGCCTCGTGCTTGCTGAGGTCATGTGTATCATCATTTCTGCAATAGTGTCGTGCTGGGGCCTTTCATATTTCTGATGCATGTAATCAATATATAAGTTTTAATGAATGTCAGTGTACTGAAATGTGGGCAGCTTGGCTGCAAGTGCCGAACACCCATTCACCATTCAGCTTTACTGGTCTTTTTCTTTTCTTTTCTTTCTTTCTTTTTTTTTTTTTAAACTCTGGGAGGAAATAAGCAAATATAAGGGTTTTTGTTGTTGTTTTCTATTTTTTTTATTATTATTTTTTTCCTTTAACTTACTCACGGAATAAATATGTTCAGGATGGAGACTAGACCATCCTTCCTGTGGGGCTCCTGTCAGAAGTTATGAGAAAGTTGGAAGGATGACAGAATAAACAGAAGCCCAGAAGAGACAGGGAATCATGGGAGAGGAGATGAGCTGGAGGTCAAGAGGAGGCTGCCCGGGGAATCGGGGCCTAGGGGCATCCCCAGCGTCCTCCACCTCTGTTCTGTTCAGGTATCTAGCAAGAAACTTTAATAGCAAGAAAGTTGCTGTAGAGATGGGAAGCAAAGTGGAGCCAGGGAGAGGAAGAGGGAGGGAGGAGAAGGGGAGAGAGAGAGGAGGAAGGGGGGGGGAAGGGAAAGATAAGAGGAGGAGAGGGAGGGGGATCTTCTAGTGAGGAGGTTTTTGGTCTTGGTGAAAGACTAGGACACGGGGGGGGGGGGGGGGGGGGGGGGAAGGGAAAGGTCTCTTTTTGCTTGGACATCCCTAGGTCAACCACCATCACCACCTGTGCATGTGAATGTGTGCTCTTGGCGGTGGCAGCCATACCGCAGCCGTGAGGGAGGAGTTCTGAAGGGGTGGGCGTGAAAAGAGAGCCCTGTCTTGAGGGTCCCACTAAGATGAACCAATGCCAGCACTGGCCTCTGCCTCGACTTCTTGTTTAAAAAGAAGCAATACATCCCATTCATTCCATGACACAACTAGTTTCTTATTGTTTGGGCATTTTGTTTCCAACATTCTTTCTTTGGCTTGTCAAGGGGACAAAAAGTCAGCCCTGTTTTGTATGCGTCCATGATTACGTCCTTGGTAAAGTCGGTGTTTGCAGGACGACAGTTGCCGAGTCAAACTGGTTAATATGAGGCAGGAATGGGATACGACGTTATCATCTCTCTATAGCAGTCTGTGAAAGAGTGCACCCTCCACCCCTGGAGCAAAGCTGATTGTTTGGCTAATTTGATAAATTTAAAAAAATATTTATCTTTCATATTTTGATTTGATGCTCATGTTACTGCTGAGATGAAATGCTTTTTATTTGTTCATGAATATTTATTTGTGTTTTCATTTTGACACATGCCAATACCAACCCTTCTTCAGGACCAAAGCTCTTTTTTTTTAACTTTATTTTTATTCTGTCTCAAAAACAAATAAACAAATAAATAAACAAACAAACTGAACTCCAAGCTAGCGTTCCTGATCAAGATGGCTTTGTATGTTCTCTCTCGTCCTCTTCAACCTCACGCATCTGCCCTCTCCCTTCACAGCGGCCTCGCTTCTCTTCTTTTGTATCACTTTGTCTCACTACTCCAGGGCCTTTGTTCATGCTGTTTCCTCTTGGAAGGTTCTACCCACTTCCTCCTACCTCCTCAGGTTAGCAAGCTCCTTTAAAACTCTTTAAAGAGGCTTTCTGGCCTCTCTCAAAGCACTCCTTCACATTCCGTCACTGTAACTTAACTGTTCTTTCCATAGCGCTTACAGTCATTTGTAGTTACACACATATCTCTTTCTTACCCATTATACCATACTGTTATACTCAAAGATTTTGGAGAGAATGCCCTTTTATTCAGCAGCTTATCCACAGTACCTAGCACAGTGCTTCCCATCTGACAGGCTAGGAAGAAATGTTTGTTGAATAATAGATAAATAACTTCCCTGTTTGGCTTTTCCTGCATTTTAAATTTTTCTTGATTTTTAAATGACTGCATGCATTTTAAATGTACTGCATTCTAAATGTTAAGTATATTAGTATTTTGTCTTTTTTTTTTTTTTTGGCTTTTTTGAGACAGGGTTTCTCTGTGTAGCTTTGCGCCTTTCCTGGAACTCACTTTGGAGACCAGGCTGGCCTCGAACTCATAGAGATCCGCCTGCCTCTGCCTCCCGAGTGCTGGGATTAAAGGTGTGCGCCACCATCGCCCGGCTAGTATTTTGTCTTTTGCTCGGCTTTCTTTGTGATGCTCTTGGCCCACAGATGTGTTCACATTTATATTTCCAAGTCTATCCTTTTAAAGTAAACTGAGATGCCACGCTTCTGCTGAACTTACCCAATGAGGTCATACGTATTCATATGCATGTTCTTCTACTTTGTACTTTAATATTTCATTTATTTACATTTCAATCTTAAATTCACATTGGATTTGTTCTATGACCTGTGTTAAGACTTACTTTATCCTGATAATTCTTATTTAATACTCTTTTTATCAATGGCTTATTTGAAATACCACATTAAACTTATGACATGTTTGTAAGTATTTGGGTGTATTCTAGCAATTGGAAAACTGTTACCGTTAGGGGTCTGTTTATTCCTGTATTAGTGCCATTCTGTTTTATCATCTGATAAGGCAGATATCCACTGTATCTGAAGGTTTCAGTCTTCCCTCTTCCCATTCATGGTTCTTTTCCTTCTAGATACACTTAAAAGAAAAAAAGGGCCCCAGTAGATTTTGAATTGAAATTGCATTTGATTTATAAAGTTTAATTTGGGGGAAATTGAAACCTTAACATTATTAAGTCTTTTCTCCCAGGAACATGGTCTATCTTTCCATTTAATTCTTCTTAAATTTATGATTCTCAGTAAAAATGTGTGGTTTTTATAAACACATTCTGTTTCCTTGCAGGTGAACACGGGAGACAACTGATTCACCGAGTGCTTTGGCATTCACACCTGCTGGCTAGGGGCAGTGTGTTGTGTGTTCATGTGTAGACTCCATGGTGGTGGGTTGTATCTAACCACCGGAGCACACTCGCTGGCAGGGCAAGCTGGGAATCTGGAGTGATATCCTCCATGGCGGTGGTGTTGAATGAGTGGGATGGTTAATTTTGTGTGCCCAGCTTATTCGGTATTTCTAAGTGTGCCTGTGAGGTTGTTTCCAGGTGAGACCATCACCTGAATCAGTGGAGAGAATAAAACATCTTTCTGTCCTCATGTGGGTGGGCACCAGCCAATCATCTGAGTCCCTGAACAGAACAAAGAAGGGGGAAAGAGGAGATGTTCACCCTTCTTCTTAACTGCGTTTGCTGGGTCATCAGTCCTCAGCTCTTCCCTGGGACTCACATCCTCAGTCCTCGGGACAGCACCAGCTTTCCTGACTCTCAAGGGTGTAGAGAGTAGATACTGCAATTCCTCAGGTGCCATACCGCACAAGCCAACTCCTTATATGAAATTGGGTGGTGTGTGTGCGTGTGCACTGGGCTGGTTCCATTGAGAACCCCAGCTAAAAGAGTGTGTAAGCATCTGACTTCATCCCCCTTCTGTCAGAATGACTCCAATATCTACTCATAAGTCCCCAGTAGGGTGGTGCTATATTTAACCCTAGGAAGGCAGCTCGAAGCAGCCTCTGCTGACTCCCTTCCCATCCGAATTTCCCATCTTCACTCTTAGACTGGGGAACCTGGAACCACTCTTCAATAAACATCCCTAACACTTTTTTGTCTCAGGGTCAGCTTCTAAGGAAACCTAAACCAAGACACGATTCCTTCTTGTGTTTAGTGGATTATAAATTATTATAAACACTGCTCTAAGAACTATAGTTTCTAACTAGATAATAAGAAATCTATTGCTTTTTTTTTTTTAACTCTAGGCAGATATATGTCTGTTGTTTGTTTTTGCTCTTTTTTGGGGGGGCACCACCCAGCTCCCAAATAAATCACACACGAAGGCTTATTCTTAATTATGAATGCCCGGCCTTAGCTTGGCTTAGTTTCTAGCCAGCTTTCCGTATCTTAAATTATCTCATCTATCTTTTGTCTTTGGGGTTTTCCCATTCTCTTACTTCTGTTAATCTTACTCTTACTCCATGGCATGCTCAAGGTTGGCCCCTGGAGTCTTCCTCCTTCTCTGTCTGCTTCTCTCTCCTTTTTTTTTCTTTTTCCAGATTTCTCCTTCTATTTATTCTCTCTGCCTGCCAGCCTTGCCTATCCTTTTTCCTGCCTTGGTATTGGCCAGTTCTTCATTAGACCATCAGGTGTTTTAGACATGCACAGTAACACAGCTTCACAGAGTTAAACAAATGCAGCATAAACAAAAGTAACACAACTTAAAATAATATTCTACTACATATGTCCATATAAGAACATATTCAAACACAAGTTTTTGACATGCAATCATTATGATTCTGAAACTTTCTTACATATATGCTCTTAGGGGCTACAGATAATATGGTAATATATACATATATTGGAGAAATTATTTTGGCCACTCTACGTAGTTAAAAGGATATTTATTTATTTATTTATTTTTTTTTTTTTATTTTTTTGGTTTTTCGAGACAGGGTTTCTCTGTGTAGCTTTGCGCCTTTCCTGGAACTCACTTGGTAGCCCAGGCTGGCCTCGAACTCTGCCTCCCGAGTGCTGGGATTAAAGGCGTGCGCCACCACTGCCCGGCTAACTGTTGGTGAAATTATTAAGGCCACTCCTCGTAGTTAGAAGGGAG